GAACCACCACCACAACCAGGTGCACGCGGCCGACGTCACCCAGACCGTGCACTGCTTCCTGCTGCGCACCGGCATGCTGGTACGGGTGGCACCGGGGCACCGGGGACAGCTGCCAGGGTGGCACCTGCTGCTGGGGGTGGCACCTGCTGCTGCGCACCAGGATGGGGCCTGGGATGGGGGTGGCACTTGGTGTCCAGGGCGGCACCTGGTGCTGGTGACAGGGATGGCACCTGGCTCTGGTCCCCAAGATGGCACTCGTTATCAGGATGGCACCTGGTGCTGGTGACAGGGATGGCACCTGGCTCTGGTCCCCAAGATGGCACTCGTTATCAGGATGGCACCTGGTGCCCCAGCTGGCACTTGGTACCAGTTTCGAGGGTGCCACCAGTTCTGGTATGTGGGTAGCACCAGCCACCAGTTCCTAGGATGGCACCTGGTGCTGGTGTCAGGGATGGCACCTGGTTCTGGAGCCCAGGATGCCTTGGGTACCAGTTTCCAGGATGGCACCAGGTTCTGGTTCCCGACAGGGCACTGGGTACCAATTCCCAGAGTGGCACCTGGTGCGGGTGCCCATCCAGTGCCCCTTGTGCCTCCCCGTGGATGGTGCCCGGTGCCAGTATCAGGACGGTGCTGGTGCCAGTTCACAGAATGGCGCCTGGTGCCGGTTCCTGGTGCCCAATCCCTAACATGGGGCCAAGTGCTGGTGCCCAGAAAGGTGCCAGTCCCGGGGACAGTGACCGGTTCTGGTCCAGGGATGGTGTCCGGCTCCGGGGGTGGGTGACGCCGGTGGCCGCGGGTACATCGCCACCTAGTGTCATCGCTGTCCCCAAGGGGTCGGGGTGAGCCCGGGGGGCTGTCCCTGTCCCCCGGGTGTCCCCAGGGCCGCTCTCTCCTCCAGCACTACCTGACGGAGATCGAGGTCTTGGCCATCGTCTTCGCTGCCGCCATCCACGACTACGAGCACACGGGCACCACCAACAGCTTCCACATCCAGACCAAGTGAGGACGGGTGGCACCGCGGGGACACCGAGGGCCTGGCACCCTGGGGACGCGGGGGACGCCTTGGGTGCACCCATAGGGCCAGAGATCCGGATGTGGTGGCACCACAGGGACATGCAGTGGTCACCAAGGTGGCCTGAGGATATTGGGGGTCACCCATACCGGCACCCAGGGGACACCCCCTAAGCCATGTCCCCTGCGGGGGGCCTTGGTTGGCGGCCACCTCAGTGTCCCCTTGTCCCCCAGGTCGGACTGTGCCATCCTCTACAACGACCGCTCGGTGCTGGAGAACCACCACATCAGCGCCGTGTTCCGCATGATGCAGGACGACGAGATGAACATCTTCGTGAACCTCACCAAGGACGAGTTCGCGTAAGGGCCCCACGGCGCCGTCCCCAAGGCCCCCCCCGGGGTGGCGCGCGGGGCTGGCCGTCAGCGGTGCCTCTTCGCAGGGAGCTGCGGGCCTTGGGCATCGAGATGGGCCTCGGCGCCGACATGGCCTGCGCCCGCCGCGAG